TTTTAATTAAGGTATGTACATTTTTTTAGACATAATGCTATTGCACACTTAATAGACTACAGTATAGTGTAGACATAGCTTTTATATGCAATGGGAAACTAAAAAATTCGTGTGACTCACTTTATTGCAATATTCGCTTTATTGCAGTGGTCTGGAACTGAACCCGCAATATCTCTGAGGTATGCCTGTATTTTGCCATGCATGTAGAAAGGGTAAAAGTGAGGCTATGTATATGTGTGTGTGTGAGGGGAAGGAGCTAGCATGCAACAAAGCCCAGACTTTATTTTTATTTCTAAGAATGTCTCCTTCCATTCAGTTTTCTTTCTGAAGGATGATTGTTTTCTCTCCTGAAGTCATACTGGGCTACACCAAAATTCCTCATGAAATTAGAATCGAACCTCTACTGCTACAAATTCAACAAAACTTAACATGCGTGTAAGGATTACTTATGTTGTACACATCTACAGTCATTAACATAAATTGTCTCAATTTCAACAAATGCTTCCAAATTACGGTTTTTATGAAAAAGCATTTGTATAATTATATTTCTTGTCTCTCCTTTATTTTAAAACTAAGTTTATGTTTCTTTTAGTCTTTTTTATACCAACAGTTTTCTTTTAATCAAATGAATTATTTTTAATCATACTAAGGTGAAATTTTCCTAGTGATATAGAGGTGGAATTGCAAATCAGAAAATAATAGTTTAAATCTTTCCTCTGCTGAAAATGTTAAGTAATCTTGAATCCTCTGATGTGAACTTTGATAGATGACCTTAGGCAAGGTGCAGTTTCTCAACCTCAGTTCTCTTCATCTACAATATAGGAATAATAATTTTGATTTATTTTTACATAGTTGTTAGGATTACGCATGAGAATACTTGAAAGTACTAAGATAGTAGTATTAAGCTTTAATACTATATTACAGAAACTGGTATTTCTTTGCAATTTAGTTGTATATCAGATAGGATTTACATATTTTATTTAAATACATCTTAGTCAAATGAACAATGGATTTTATACATATTAAGGGAACCTAACCCTAAGCACTTGTCAGATCAGTTTTTAGTTTATTGTAACTTTTACTTAGGCTTTCTCTTTTACCAGATTACTCAGCTCAGGTAAATAAGGTTAAGGACATGCTGTTAGTAACTAGAGCATTTTCAGGGTTTTGTTCAGCAGATGGGCTGCTTGCTTGTATTCATGTATTTTACTGCCTGCTGTGCAGCTGCTTCAGCTGCCTGTTGTGTTCTTTTGTTCTATCTAGGAATGGAACATAAGAAAATATAGTCGATGGATTAATGTAAGATTACTGTTTCCTGACTTTTTAATTTCTTACATAATAAATATACCTACAAGGATTAAAAAAAAAACAATATTAAATGCTTCCACGTGACATAAATTTAAAGCTCTGGTATTTATAATTATGACTTGGATTTTTATTTTCAACCTGTATTTGTATTTCTTTTTTTAGGACTGGTAACAAGCTGCCTGACACTCCGTGGTCCACAACGTTAAGGAAATATGGAATGACATGACGGCAATTAGTTGAGGATTAAGGCTCTGAAGACAAACACCTTGGTGAGGTGAAGCACAAACTAGTATTCTAGTTATAAGGCACTGCATGCTGGAACAAAGATGGCAGATCCAGGAATGATGAGTCTGTTTGGAGAAGATGGGAATATTTTCAGTGAAGGACTGGAAGGCCTAGGTGATTGTGGATATCCTGAAAACTCAGTAAACTCTATGGGGCCACAAATGCCTATTGATCAAGGATTTCCCTCACTACAGTCATCCCTTCATCATCCTACAACCAGTCAAAATCAAGCAAAGTTGACCCACTTCGATCACTATAATCAGTATGAGCAGCAGAAAATGCATTTAATGGATCAGCCCAACAGAATGATGAGCAGTGCACCTGGCAATGGCATAGCCTCTCCTCATTCACAATATCACAATCCTCCAGTCCCCCATGGTGGAGGCACTGGTAGTCAGATGGGAGTCTATCCTGGTATGCAGAATGAAAGACATGGACAACCCTTTGTAGATGGCAGCTCTATGTGGGGGCCAAGGGCAGTACATGTGCCAGACCAGATAAGAGCACCATACCAGCAGCAGCAACCACCAACTGCCCAGCCACCACCAACAACATCGGGACCACCTGGACAGGGACATCCTCAGCACATGCAGCAATTGGGAAATTACATGGCTCGTGGTGACTTTTCAATACAGCAGCACAGTCAACCCCAGCAACAGAGGATAAATCAATTTTCTCAAAGCCAGGAAGGTCTTAATCAGGGAAATCCTTTCATTACCACCTCAGGACCTGGCCACATGTCTCATGTGCCCCAACAGAATCCAAGCATTGGGCCGCCTTTACGTCATTCAGTGCAACAGTTTCATCATCATCCCCCCACTGCTCTCCATGGAGAATCAGTAGCCCACAGTCCCAGATTCTCTCCCAACCCTCCTCAACAGGGTGCTGTTAGGCCGCAAACACTTAATTTTAGTTCTCGGGGCCAGACAGTACCTTCACCTACTATAAACAGCTCAGGGCAGTATTCTCGTTATCCTTACAGTAACCTAAATCAGGGATTAGTAAACAATACAGGGATGAATCAGAATTTAGGCCTTACAAATAACACTCCAATGAATCAGTCTGTACCAAGGTACCCAAATGCCGTAGGGTTTCCAGCTAACAGTAGTCAAGGACTAATACACCAGCAGCCCCTTCACCCTAGTGGCTCACTTAACCAAATGAATACTCAAGCTATGCACCCATCACAGCCTCAGGGAACTTACGCTTCTCCACCTCCCATGTCACCTATGAAAGCAATGAGTAATCCAGCAGGTACTCCTCCACCACAGGTCAGGCCTGGTAGTGCTGGAATACCAATGGAAGTTGGCAGTTATCCAAATATACCCCATCCTCAGCCATCTCACCAGCCACCTAGTGCCATGGGAATTGGACAGAGGAGTATGGGCCCTCGGAATATACAACAGAATCGGCCATTCATGGGTATGTCTTCAGCACCACGGGAAATGGGTGGTCACATGAGACCAAATGGCTGTCCAGGTGTTAGCCTTGCTGATCCACAAGCAATACAAGAACGATTAATATCTGGTCAGCAGCATCCCAGTCAGTCATCTTTTCAACAGCAAATGCCAACATGTCCTCCCATGCAGCCTCATCCAGGAATTCATCATCAGTCTTCACCACCACCACATTCTCACCATCAGCCTTGGGCACAACTTCACCAATCACCACAGAACACACCGCAAAAAGTGCCTGTCCTTCAGGTAGGGAATACATTGTGTAAACTTTAACTGTTTCTGGATTATTTTCAAAATAATCCTATAATTTGTGGTGATGCAGCTGTTTTGTTTTGTGTTGCTAGCTCTTTTATGGAGAATTCCATATGCATTAGTGAATTCCATAATCTGTTTACATTCTGAACAGAATTAAGTTATAGCCATGTATATTTAACAGCCACATGATATTTCTACCCTACTGATTTCTGCATATTGTTTCTAAATGTTTTATCTTTCATTAGAAGAGAATATATGTAGCTCAGGGTTGAACTGTGGAGTCCTTGGGGATCTCTGAGCTTGGTTGTTTTCTTACAAACGTTTCGTTACCTGGCTAGGTAACATCTTCAGTGCTGAAGATGTTACCTAGCCAGGTAATGAAACATTTGCAAGA